GCATCTTTGTGATGTGAGTTTCCTCCAAGCCCTCCTTCCCCCAATTCACCTTTTAATGTAATGAAACTCTCTGTAAATGTGGTTATTGTTCTGGTATTGTGCTATAACTTTGGAGAATTATTCGACAGATTTTTTTAAATTTACTTTTTCAAATCTATAACAATAAGAATATGTTACCTGGGGAGAAAACAAACCTGGTCTCTGAGCCCTGAGATGGTTTTCTGAATTTCCAATGCAAAATTGCTGAAATCCTGGGCGAACTTTGTTTCTGCCAGAAGCATCAAATTTCTAGAATCTTCATCTGCATATAAGTTATCTTGTTGCCTGTTTATATAGAAGGAAAAAAATGCTGAAAAATGAAAGTTTTGTCTGTGTGGGTAAGGATTTTTAAAAATCAACAAATATTTCCTAGGCATTTGGAACGTACAAGGCATCGTGGTTGGTGCTCTGTGTGATCATAAAAAGATAAAGGTATGACTAGAATTAGATATTAAAATTAAATGCCATATGAAAGGATAATCCAGAGTGTTACATCTGCTTCACATAAAATGATAAGGAAGCATTTCTTATGAAATAAATGAAATGTCATGTTGCATTACATATACACTTGACATATTATTTAGATCTCAAAGTACGTCTTCTGCTAACAAATTGTTCATTTCACTTTAAACAGTGAAAGAGCAATGACAAATTAAATATTACATATCATGCAGCAACCAGGTGGGAACGTTGCTTGCTCTATTATAAGTTCACAGCAAGAACTAAATTAAGATACGGATATTATGTCTGACATAAATCTAATCTTAAACCTGATGCAAAATAGCTCAGTCCTGTTGAAAATAAAAAAATTAAAATTCTAAGGTTGAATTTAAGATATGTTTCTCAGAGCTTAACTGGAGTTCTCAGAAAACCAGAGGCAGTAACTAGTTTGGGAACTGGAAATGAAAGTTCTATCCATTTACAATTGTGATGTATTGTTAAAAACATCTTCATGTAGCTTTGATTTAGTTGATATGATAGCTGTCTCGAGTTTTCAGATTTTTTTCCAAATTT